CCTCGTCATCGAATATTGTTTTTAACATCACCAGAAAATGAATTATTAAAAATCCTGGACTGTTATATGTATCAGATTCACAATGCCTTCACTTTAAAAAGAATTAAATATGAGGTTCTGGATATCACGAATCAACGTATTGTTTTGTTTAATGCCCATTCGTAGTGTATTACATTTTTATTTTTTATTATAAAGTTTCGTAAAAGAAGTTAATAGAAGTAATGTATTATGAACTCCCGCTTAAAGGCGTTGAGATAATTAATTGCTTTAGCCATACTATGAAATCCTGCAATTAAGAGTTAGTGAGAGTGCTGTTTTATCCTTTGATGCTACAAGAACTTAGAAGTCATAGTTTAACTTTGACTTCACGATGCTGCGTGTTAATGAAGGTGTTATTTTAGTTGAGTCATTACTTTCAAGTAGAAATCCTTGAGAGGAGTTTCTTATATTTAATGGATTTGCAGTTTTTACTTGAACAAAAAGTTCCACAAAACTTTGATAGTGATACAGTTTAACGTTATGACTTTGTTGGAAGAGAAGATGTTCCACAAAACTTTGATAGTGATACAGTTTAACGTTATGACTTTGTTGGAAGAGAAGATGTTCCACAAAACTTTGATAGTGATACAGTTTAACGTTATGACTTTGTTGGAAGAGAAGATGTTCCACAAAACTTTGATAGTGATACAGTTTAACGTTATGACTTTGTTGGAAGAGAAGATGTTCCACAAAACTTTGATAGTGATACAGTTTAACGTTATGACTTTGTTGGAAGAGAAGATGTTCCACAAAACTTTGATAGTGATACAGTTTAACGTTATGACTTTTCAATAGAACAAGCTGAAAGAAGAGCTATGTGACGTGTAATATCCTTCTGTAAGGTATTTAAACTGGTACTTTATCACTTACAATATCATTCTGCAAAATGTCAGAAGAAATACTGGTTAACGTGTGTTGTGGCTTTTTTATAATATTCTACTTTAAAGTTTTAATCATGCTACAGATAATTAGTTAGGTTCCTGTATTCATCTGTTGTAGGTCCTCTCGAGACGAGGTTTTAATGAGGTTATTGTTTACCTACGTAAACTCAGCCAAGCAAAGAACTTTGATTCTCAACTAAAGCAAGGCAGGAATGGAACGAAAATGTTCCGCTTGTTTTAAATGAATTTTTTTTTTAGTTATTTGCTTTTATCTAGTTTTGGAAATTGTTATTATTATTAGCTTATTTTTATAAAATCAGAGCAGATTTCCTACTTACCAAACGTTCAGTAGTTACACTGACTAAAATAAATATATAAAAAGAAAAAGAAACTTGAGAAAGAAACAAAGAATTTTTTACAGGCTAAAGGGAATTTTGGGCTATTAAAATTATGAATAAAAATGTTAATTCAATAGTAGGTGTTGTTGTTTTTTTCAAATCATTCTAGCTAAATTATCTCGATTTAGGCTTAACAAAATATGTGTTTTAATGATATTTCAAAGCACACACGCACGCAACTCCACCTAGCGGCTTTCATTACCTAAACTTTATTGGCGTGAAATACACTTCGCCGAGTAGAACTAAGTTAAGCAAATATACTTTTATCTTGGAATTTTACCACACAAAAAAAATAAGAAAAAGCCATTTGGAAAGTGGTCTTGTTCGTGATGCTCTTTGGCACATTAAAAATGCAGACTATGTAAAAATGCTTTTAGCCATTTAATCATTATTCTTCAATGAGCATTGATTAATTTTTAAACAGAGATACCCAGTCAGTGTGAATTTCGGGTAATTTTCTGCATGACATACTTCAAAGAATTTTGTCATAGGCAATTAACTTCGACAATCTATAACGTTGCGTCCCCAGTCTTTTTTTTATCTAGGGTTGAAAAAAAAATGAATGATTGTTGTAAAATATTTTTCAAATACTTAGATTGTTTTAAACTAGACAGAAAAATTAAATGAAATATCATGAAAAACCATTGGTATAAACTGAAACTAAACCCAAGTATTAAAAATGTCTAGAGCGGGAACTGTCGCTAAACAACATGATTGAAAACTTTCTCAATAAGCTGGTTCTTAAAAGTCCCCCACCTCCAGTGGCTCAGTGGTAATCCTGAAGGGTTATAACGTTAAAAACAGGGTTTCGATACTCGTGGTGGGAACAGCATAGATAGTCTATTGTGTAGCTTTGTACTTAACTACAAACAAAAAAAAAACTTAAACGTTTTTTTTTCTACGAATATTTTAGCAAAAGTATTTGATGTAACTACTTTTTTCTCCTCTCTTTCGGCAGAGAAAAGAAATTATCCTAAGTTATTAATTTTTACATAATAATTAATTTGATTTCTAATGAGTCTTTGTACAAATGATTTTTGATAACCCAGATGGAGCTTACTCTAAAAAAAAAGGTTAATAGTGAAAGATATGTTATACATTTCAGGTCTGTAATCCTTTTATCATTTTATCATAAAGAACAAGCTTGAACAAACTTATGTAACACATGAGCTAAACGACAAAGTTCAGGCATAGCCATCCCTAATTTTGAACTGCTGACCAAAGAGTTAACAGCAGAAGCTACTGCCTACGGGGATACTTTTAATCTCGACTGACACTTTCATAACGCCCCACAGCTGAAAGTACACAGCGTATTCAGGTGTGGGGGGGGGGGGGCGTTATAGAACCTTGGACCTTCCGCACGCGCAGTCTAGAACACAAAGGATTAGGGAACGCCCGTCCCAAATAAATAAAAGTGAAACAAAAATATATGAGCATTTATCGTAGCTAAAGCTTTTGTTACCATAATTGTGTCTGTAATAACTTAATATAAGATGACAATCTTCACAAACACCTGAACCGTTTACGTTAGGTTATGTAACAAATGACCCAACTTGCTACAGTTGGAAAATAAAAAAGTTCATTTCTAGGAATATGAAGATACAACATAGTTTAACACAAAGTAACATACTTTAACACAAAGCAAAGTATTACAGATTATGATGAAATCGGGCTGCTTTAGATAATCCGCTTACCTTCTTTTCGAAAAGTTGAAAATAAAATAAAACTTAATATCAGTCCATGTATCTGAATAGTTTTTCTAGGGAAGGGGTAAATAAATTATATTAAACAGCCTCAAAATTCATTTTTTATAATGATTAGCAACTGTCCACTTTATATAAATTTAAATTCGCCGTCCTGCGCGCTAACCGGTTGGCCACATCCGACCCACTAATATTACTGATATACGATATACGGCAGAAAAAAATATTCATTTTACAAGTTTAGGTTAGTTTGTTTGTTTGTTTTTAAACTCATGCGTAAAATGTTTGTTTTTGTTCTCTTTCTTCCTTTTAGAGCAGAGCCACATTGGGCTATGTGCTGTGTCTACCGAGGGAGATCGATCCCCGGATTTTAGCATTCTGAATCCCTAAATTGATCGTTACTCCATCGAGTGACTGACTAGAATGAGATTTAAGCTTTAAAAATACATTTTCTGATTTTTGAGTATGAGAACTATGCAGTACAAGTTGGTGAAAAATGCTTAACTTTATATGAAACGTAAGCTATGTCAAATTCTGTTGGATGAACAAACTTTAGCTCCTACATAGCTCCTACAAGAAATATGAATTTATTAATTTATTTCTCTAAAAAACAAAAAAAAACCATCAAATAAAATGAATTGCAAGAGGGCGCTTAAATACATTTAAATACTTGGCAGGAAATTTGAAATTTATTATATATATATATACATAAAATCTCAATTTCAATGCACTATTACATGTAATTAGGCACGACTGCCTAACGTTTTTGGAAATGGGGGGGGGGAGGTCAATCTATGACAGCTGTTATTAATAGTGTGTGTGTATGTGTGTTTTATTATAGCAAAGCCATATCGGACTATCTGCTGTGTCCACCGAGGGGAATCGAACCCCTGGTTTTAGCATTGTAAGTCCGAAGACTTACTGCTGTCCTATCTCTGTCCTAATAACAGTGTATGTACACTAACTAGAAAAGATGGGGGAGCGTACCCCCCTTCTCCCTATGTATTAGGCGTCTATGTAAGTAAGTACAATGAGCATCTTTCAGATTTTTCGAGTGAAAGATACTGTTTATGTTGCCTGATACTACTGTGTAACACCCTAAGAAAAATTTATTTCTTGCGCTACCAAAATAAATCCATTTCTAGGGTATTGTTCTATCATAAGTATAATAAAAATCATGATTTGTATATTCAGTCATTGAAAGACTACGTCAGGACTCTCTATATGTGAGAGGGATACCATCCTTTCTCTCACGTCCAGAAAAAAATTGCTTGTTTAGAAAAAAATATAGCTACGGTTCTTGTCATTGTCTATAAGTGAAGCGAAAATTGAGTCTCAGTTTTCATTATAGTGTGTTTTTTTTAGTTGAAGCTTCTTGTTCTTTTTGCATCCTCGAAGCAAACTCATTTAATCTGAAAATACCTTACAACGACACTACATAACACGTGCTACAGGCACTTTGGTGAAGTTAATTATGCACAACAAAAGATCAAGTTGAATAAAATGAATAGCTCTTGAACTTTTCAGTGAGAATGGAATGCTTCGTAATAAATATTTTCAACACTTCAGTCTTTAAAATTTGACTTCACACAAAAAGATATAAACACAGTAAAAATAAATGTTAATTTCATGTCTTTTGTATAGCAAAATCGAAGTAAACAAAAGTCGCCAGTGTTAATCAAGACAGCGTGGAAAAATATGTAAATATTGGTAGTTACAATGTACAATAATATATATTTTCAAAGGCATCTCTTTACTGCTTTTCAAAGGCAATAATATCTTGTATTGACACCGACAATTTTTTAGTGTTATTGTCAGTTTGTTTGTTTGTTTGTAATTAAGCCCAAAGCTACACAATGGGTTATCTGTGCTCTGCCCACCACGGGTATCGAAACCCGGATTCTAGGGTTGTAAGTCCGCAGACATACCGCTGTGCCAGTGGGGGGCAGTGTTATTGTCAACATTACTAATACAATACTTAATTTAATTGTGTTTTAAATAAAACAATGTAATTCCCTCTGTGCCTATGCTGTAGCCTTGTGTCTCTAAAGCCATCAGGTCTCCTAATATTCACCTAATTTAAACCCTACCTAGGTTCCAGTCCCCCGGTGGGACAGCGGTAAGTTTAAGTACTTACAAAGCTAAAATCCGGGGTTTATTCCTCGCGATGGACTCGGCAGATAGCCCAATGTGGCACTGCTTCTGAGATGTATTAACCTTTGATTAATGTATTTGAGTATCAAACATGAGCATTGTGATGTTCAAAAGCTATGTAACTCGTATAAGAATACAAAGAACGGCGTATCTATGAACTGAATCTGGTAACTAACTTGTTACTTCTACAAATAAAAGAATTTACGTGACTAGTTTAGACGTGTATGTGCTTTTTTATTAACCACAAGTTAATACGAGGACACTTGGAGAGATCAAGCCCTTAATATTAGCGTTATAAGCCCTCACTCTTCCCGCTCAGCCACCAACCCATCATCCATGATAAACCAGAACCACAGTACTACTGATCCATCATCCATACCATACCAGAACACCAAAATCACTAGCCCATCACCTATATAAAAACAAATCGTTATAAATTAAAATAAATTTTCCAGGAACAAATCTTTTTTTAAAAGAATAACAAACGTTTCTTTAAGTTATGCACCATACGACATCTCTAAAAACAAAAGAATCAAATGCAAACGTTTTAACTTTATTATTACATAGGATGAAACATTCTATGATAAGATTTCAGTGATCGTCCATTACACAGATACTAAAAATTGATCCTTACAAATAAAGATAGATTTTCAAAGGTTTGTTTGTTTGTAATTAAGCTCAAAGCAACACAATGGGCTATCTGTGCTCTGCCCACCACGGGTATCGAAACCCGAATTCTAGCGTTGTAAGTCCGCAGACATACCGCTCTGCCACTGGGGGGCAATTATCAAAGAATTCCGTTTTTGTTATCTATTGTTATCTTACAACGAGGTTATCTTACAACGTTTCGATATAAATAATATGCTTGCTTATCATGAATCACTGTAGTGGTTCATAATAAGGATCGCCCATTTGTTCTTTATTATTATATAATATTATTCCGCCAGCCTACAGCAAAAATGGCTGTGAGTACTGTAATAAACCCTAAACATATTAGTAAACGCATCATTGCGCATTATGTAGGGTATGTTTTAAGTTTATTTGACTACCTAGCAGATAACAGCGGCTGTATAACTGTTGACACCCAATCGTTTTAATAAAGTCTGTGGTTTATATGGAGCCTCATAATCTAATATACATTCATACGTGCACTGCCTAAAGGGCATGCATGACACATGTACTATAGCGATTATTAACTATTGTTGCCACTGTATTGATGTCGCGTATCATTTATTTATGTATAAGGTTCTTTCCCTTTCGGACACAACTCTGCTGACAGGATTACAGTTTTTCTTACCACTGCATGATCGTTTTGGGTATGGTTACACAAACGTCTAGGCTTTCTCCTACAGTAGAAATATTTAATTAAGCCGTAGTTAAAAAGATAGCACCAATCTCAGTTTCGAGCATCGGATCGGCAATCACAGTGTTGGCAAGTGTCAAATTATAACCAACACTGCGTGATTGCGAATTTTATAGATACTGCAGATAGAGTAATCCTTGAAGCTGACTATAAGGAGTGGCAAGAATCGAGCAAGCAGGAAATGGCGTAAATGATGGCGATTCTAGGCGAAAGTGAGGCAGAAATTTTGTAGCTATATATTTTATTTAGAAAATATTTAGTTTCAGATAAAGTATGCAGCAGCGACGGCCCACCCCAGAGTTTGGGGTCGTCACAATGGATAAGGGTCGTAGAAGTGTCACGACCCAAACTCCATCAAAAATGGAGGGAGAAGTTATATCAATATAATCAATCCATAATTGCTAATTAACACGTTTTCGGCCTTGTAGAGTGTGCAGAATGTCGCTCTAAGAGGAAATCTGACCAGCTGCACGAAAACCGTGACCAGCCTTACTATGGCCAGCGGAGAAGGAGGAAGAAGAAATATTTAAAATGTTTATTTGTATACATATGTTATTATAGTATGATATGTTGTCTTATACTTCCATTGAATATACATGCATGCATCTATTCCGCTTGAAAATTTCATATGGCTATTGATATATACGGCTTTACAACTTAAAAAACTATAAAACCTGCAAGTATATATATATATATATATGCTAGATAACGTGCATTTTAGTTTTCATTACATTATAAAATGTACTAAGGTTTCCTTTTCAAACTTACCCCCAATCTCACGCGTGTAATGTAATGAAATTAAACATAGACTATGGATCTATATTCAAGGGATCTATATTCAAGGGTATTATATATTCAAGGGTATTATATATTCAAGGGATCTATATTCAAGGGTATTATATATTCAAGGGATCTATATTCAAGGGTATTATATATTCAAGGGTATTATATATTCAAGGGATCTATAATCAAGGGTATTAGATAAGTATAATTCCTCCTCAATTGTTACCTATAAATAAACCGACGAATCAAGTATATAGTGAGATTTGCACATTATTGTAACACTTACAGTTCCGGGCTTTTCTCTACCACAGACGCTGTTTTTCAAAGGCACTGCTGTTACTTTTAAAATGATCTAAGACCTTCATCCTTTGTTTCAACGCTAGAAACTGGATTTTCAATACCCGTGGTGGACAGAACACAGATAGTCCATTGTGTAGCTTTGTATTTAATTCCAAACAAACAAAAAACGTCCTTGATTAACACTAGCTCAACCGTCAGGTTAATAAATAGAAGTAATATTTCTTTTCTGTGATTGTTTTCTTCGATCGACTAAAATAATTTGATTATTAGCTGCCAGGATTCTCTCAAGATTAAAAATCATTACATATATACAGGAAGATAATTATTTCGTACTTAGTGATAATAGAAGATAAAAAACACATTTCGTTTCTATATTAATATTGAAGATAAATTATTTTCTTATTGGATGTATAATTTTGATCATTTAGACGTGAAATAAGCAATAGTAGAAAAAAAGTTAATTTATTTCTATATAAAATATATTGTGTTACAGATGTTAAGTAGGCCTAAAGCGAAGAACGAGTAAAATGTTATTATTTGAAAAATCAAAAAACATTAGCGTGTATACATTTATACGAACATCATGTGATCATGTAATTTGTAGCAACATTCTTTAAAAATTTGGAAAGAATTACAAAGTTACTTTCAATGGACAACATAAATCCTCCACGGACCGGATCTCTTCTATCCCTCATCTCTCCTCAGATGAAACTTTTGAACATGAAAGGGGTGTTGCTTTGCGTTAATGGTCCTTTACTACCAGGAAATTAAATTCTTGTATTAGTTGAACAACTAGGATCAAAATATTCAACGACAACCTCAAACTTAAAAGTTTAAGATTATCTAACAATCGGGGAAAATAAAGATATGAAACAGTAAAAAAAAAAAGTAGAATTTTAATTTCCTAACATCTGAAAGATTGTTTTCTGTCATTGAGTACCCTACATTCTTTGAAAAAAAAAATAGTGTGAAATGTATTTTTAAACTAGAATAAATACCCTGTCGATAGTCGAAAACTCAATCTATTTTTACTTCGAAGATGTTAAACAAAAAAACTTCAGCCCATTAGCTGATATGTTCAGGAACGATCTTGAGATTTTGTTCTTTGGTGAATTATACTTTCCCTCATTTTAAAGACACTATTTTCTTGTTATTGTATATTTTTGGTGGATTTCTAAAAGTATTTGTATGGGTCGTAGATAGGCCCGACATGGCCTGGTGGTTAGGGTGCTCGACTCGCAATCTGAGGGTTGCGGTTTCGAACCCCGTCACACCAAACATGCTCGCCCTTTCAGCCGTGGCGGCGTTATAATGTCACGGTCAATCCCATTATCCGTTGGTAAAAGAGTAGCCCAAGAGTTGGCGGTGGGTGGTGATGACTAGCTGCCTTCTCTCTAGTCTTACACTGCTAAATTAGGGACGGCTAGCGCAAATAGCCCTCGTGTAGCTTTGCGCGAAATCCATAACAAACAAACAAACAATGGGTCGTAGATTTTCGAAATTATAACGCACAGTTATCAAAAACATTACTTCAGTTTGAACGTGATTTCTTGGTTTAGCTCCAAGCCTAACACTGTACATAACATGCTGGGAAATTATTCGCTTTATTCTGTTTCTAAGGTACCGATGATACATGGGTTACAAATCTATTACATGTACCAGACATGTCGTTATTGAACGTGCCACACACAAATATTATATAACTTCATAATTCTGATACAACATTCTAATAGCTTATATTGATGTTATAATGAGTTAGATTTTGTTCACTTTGTTTAATAGTGATATACGTCTAGCAAAACAAATAAAATCACCGAGTTAAAATTTTCCACTACGATTACAATCTTATGAGTATTCTGCCCTCAGTAAGTGTCATTGTTTTATTATTAAGATTGCCATTTGCAATCATTTCTTGGCAGGAAAAGTTTCACGTACACTCATCACTTTACTGAAGCTGTGCTTAGATCAGAACATGATAACGTAAAGAGAATGCACTGCTTCACTAAAACTGTGCTTAGATCAGAACATGATAACCTAAAGAGAATGCACCGCTTCAATGAAGCTGTGCTTAGATCAGAACATGATAACCTAAAGAGAATTCACCGCTTCATTGAAGCTGTGCTTAGATCAAAACATGATAACGTAAAGAGAATGTACCGCTTCACTGAAACTATGCTTAGATCAGAACATGATAACGTAAAGAGAATTCACCGCTTCATTGAAGCTGTGCTTAGATCAAAACATGATAACGTAAAGAGAATGCACCGCTTTTCTAAGTCTGTGCTTAGATCAAAACATGATAACGTAAAGAGAATGCACCGCTTCATTGAAGCTGTGCTTAGATCAGAACATGATAACCTAAAGAGAATTCACCGCTTCACTGAATATGTGCTTAGATCAGAACGTTAGAACGTAAAGGGAAAATTTTTGAAGACCAAACATCCTTGCATGTGTAATTTTATATGATTAGACCACAAAATACTCAACAGTTAAGTGTTATCACTTCCTCATTTAGTGCACGAAACATCAAAAGAGTTATATAAAATAATCAATAACAACTCTGATATTTTCAGGCAATCGTTTGTATGGAAAACAAACATACCAATATAATTTTTGACTATAGCAAACACATTACCAGAAGAAGGCGTCATTTGTAATTATTATAATACCTCAAATTATCATTTTCTATTACATTTAGTATAATTAGTACTATTGTCCCCGTCTGTACTTCATAACTGTATTTTGCTACTGAACGTAATCGTAGTTTAATTTTCAGAGTGGAAGAAATTACGTTTAATACCAGAGATAAGATTCAGGCCATCTGCGGGTCACAGGTTCGAATCCAATCGCCAAACATGCTCATCCTGTTAGCTGGGGGAGCGTTATAGCGTGAGGTTCAATCCCACTATTCGATTATAGTAGCCTAAGAGTTTGCGGCGGGTGGTGTTGACTAAATGCTTTCCCTCTGGTGTATCACTTGTAAATTAGAGACGGCTAGCGCAGATTACCCTCGAGTAGCTTTCCGCGATATTCAAGAAACAAACAAACAATTGCAAGATCCATTAAGATTGTATTTTGTT